TATGTCTTGCTCAGATAGAGTAGCGTTTTACGATCAGTTATTTTAAGTACGTTGTTAAATAAAGGCCAGCTTATTGATGGCACTGTAAAATCTCGCGTAATTAATCGATCAAACCTAGCTATAAATGTCTTATGTAAACATTATCAATCTAGCAGACTTTTATTGTTTGTTAAGGACTTTGTAAAAGGAGAAAGGAATCGGAGGGACTATATTTCTAATCCGATACCATGTTATTGGAATTTTACTTCTTTCTTCTATTCTTAATTTTTAGAAAGTGAATTGTTTTCAATATACTTCTGATACTTAAGTAAATAAATCAAAAAATGTAATAACATTACATTTCGATTGACAATTAGCATTTGAAACTGTCATATTAAAAAAATCTAAACTTTAAATTTTGTGAAGAAGAGTCTTCTTCAAATATTTTCTGGAATAACTTCATTTTTTTTAATGAATTTTAATGGGTTTCACAAAATAATGATCATATAGGAAACTCTTAATTGTCATCTACTAGTACCACTAACTATAAATAAGTCTTAACCAGTTACCATAGTATTAATTACTAGATAGTTGCAGGGAATTTCAAACCAACAATATGCAACCTTCCGCTGTTAAAAAGTGAAACTACACTATACAACACGTGTTCGCCTATACACGAGGCAACCTCATCCTCTTTTCTGTCGAAATTTAATGGGTATACTCGGCTGTTGTTATTGTTAAACAAACCGAAGGTGATTCGTGTGTTTCCCCTACTCAGTGAGCATTTAGAATAGAATTGCAAGATATAACACCTAATTTCACTTGGTGGTATATTTTGGTTTTGTTTACAATTTCGAAATGGTACCAATCTGACATTACCAATTAGAAGTATTCTATTTCAGAATAATTTACTAGTATAATTTTGACTGCACGAGTGGCGTAGTGGTTAAAGCGGGCGCCACGCCACTTACTGCTACGCTGAGTGTTGTGGGTTCGATTCCCACATGAGACGACACTTTGTGTGATCCAAAAATTGTCTTTCTAGGTGAGTCTAGGAGTCCTTTGTGTCCGTTTCGTGTATGTTGGAAGTATGTTAGTTCGTTCGTGTTAGTCCCCCTATGTATTTTCAATGCTGTAGTTGTCTTTTTAAGACAAATTTATAGATATCTGTACTCTATGCGTATGTAAATTAAATAAATATTTCCTTGTAGGGAGCGTCATTTTTGGCAAAAGAAAAAATCAATTTGATTTCAGAGGGTCGATTTAATAATTTTCATGTTATAGTCGCTCATAACTAGAATAAAATGTTGTAACTTTAGTTTGTCCGTACTTATGCGCGTGAATGTATGCACCGTAAAACATCACAGACTATCCTTAATAAATATTCAGTTCTTTAGATACATGATAATATATACTATGAATATTGTCTATGGAATAGAATAGGACTATGATCTCAAATGACCTCAAATGAAATAATCTCAAAAAACTACGCAGAACAACAGCACTGCAGAGAGAAGGAAAACTTGACACAAACCCTTTTTTTTTTTTTTTTTTTAACGTGTGGAAATCCCCTCGGACCGTCACCCCTCCGGGGTTTGCGGCGGGGTGGTGTGTCGGACTCGAACCGACTAAAACCACACGGTGTGCCCTCTTTGCGCTTCCAGTTTAGGAGGGGTCCAGGTAGTTATCGCCTTCTGGACCCCTCCCAGCGCCGGCCCGCTCCTGGTGCGGGCTCCGTCTTCAATTATCCTCTCTTTAGGCGACGTCCGGCACACGCGGACGCCGCCCCCTCGCGGCTGGCCAACTAATGCGGGTGGAGGGGAAACCCACCCCGTCCACCCGCGGCCACACTCAGGGCGGCATGAGGCGCAGGTAAGCGCGCCTCCGCCGCCCGGTTCGCCGGCGGCGGATCAGGTCCGAGTGGAGGTCGTCCTCCCGGGCCTTCTCCGCCGCCTCCTTCTGCGAGATTACCTCCTCGCAGAAGGTTGCGACCGCGGTAAAACAACTGTCGCTACCGGCCATGGAGCGAATTACGGCCGGTAGCGAGAGATCTGCTCCGATGACTGCAGTGAGGGCCCGGCGCTGCGTCGCCCATGCGGGGCAGACCGCCAGCGTGTGCTGGGAAGAGTCCTCACTGCAGTCGCAGTGGTGGCAGGCGGGACTCAGTTCCCTCCTAGCGACCGAGTGCAGGTACTTTCCGAAGCAACCGTGCCCGGAAAGCACCTGCGTCAGCCGGAAGGAAAGGGCCCCGTGCTGCCGCCCTGCCCACTCGGCTATGACCGGCTGGAGAGCCTCCACGGCGGCGAAGCCAGCGCGTGGAGTCTCCAGCCGGAACGACCATCTAACCATGGTGGCTCGGCGAGCGGCTTCGCGCCACTCGCGCACGTCTTCGGGCGGAGGGCGAAATCCGCTCTCCGCCCGGAAGTCAGCCACTCGCCGATAAACTTCGGCGAGCACTTCCGCCTCCAAATCCCACGGGGGTGTTCCGGCCAAGGCGCAAGCCGCCTCGGTGGACACCGTGCGGTATCCGCGTATGGCTCTAACCGCCAATATCCTCTGGGGGCGCCAGAGGCGCGCCCTATTCGGGGCGGTCAAAGCCGCCACCCACACCGGTGCACCATAAAGCGCCATGGACCGGACAACCCCCGCGTACAGCCGCCTCGTGGGAACACTGGCCCCGCCCAAATTGGGCAAAAGTCGCCCTAGGGCGGAGGCAGTGTCCACCAGCTTCGGACCAAGCTGTCGGAAGTGCTCGTCGAAGAGCCACCTACCGTCTAGGACCAGACCCAGGTACCTCATCTGGGCCCGGACCGGTACGAGGACCGAGCCGACCTCGATTGAGGCGCCGGCGGGCGGACCACGACGGGGCCCATGAAATAATAGGGCCTCCGTCTTATCCAGGGCCACCCGTAATCCCAACGCCTCAATGCGCCCGACCACCTGGGAAACTCCCGTGGCGGCCAGGCGCGCCGCCTCCTGGAAGTTAGCCCCCCGGGCCGTGACTAAAGTGTCATCTGCGTAGCAGAGTACACCCAGCCCGGGGGGGAGACGCCCTCGTAGGGCCCAGTCGTATCCAATGTTCCACAGGAGTGGTCCTAGGACAGACCCCTGCGGAACACCGCACGACATGGCCCTGCGTCTCAAGACGCCATCTCGGTCCTCGTACATGACGGTTCGCTCCTCAAGGTAGTCTGCCACCAGCCGCCTCAGGTACTCCGGCACTCCGTGGTAGCGGAGCGCTTCCCTGATGCAGCTGAATGGCAGACTATTGAAGGCGTTGGCGATGTCCAAGGACACCGCCAACACCACTCCGCCGCAGCTCACGGCCTCCTCGGTCACGGCCCTAAGGCGCATTACGGCATCGATCGTCGAACGCCCCGCTCGGAAACCGAATTGGGCGTCCGACAGATCGGGGCCAACCTCGCAAAGGTGCCGGACGATGCGGGCAGAAAGCACCCTCTCAAAAAGTTTACCCGCCTCGTCCAGCAACACGATAGGCCTATAGGCCGCGACCGATTCGGCAGGCCGTCCCGGCTTCTGCAGCAGGACCAGCTTCCCGCATTTCCAGCGCTCAGGGAAGCGTCCGGACGCCAGGCTAGCGTCCAACACCCCCCTGAGGTGGTCCGACATGTAGTCGAGGGCTCGGGCCATCACTCGGGCTGGAACCCCGTCCGGCCCGGGGGCAGTGTTCTTGGATCTAATCCGTAGAACAGCCGCCCCCAACTCCGATTCCCTGACGGGCGGAACATCAGCCTCGCTGCCCCCGTCGTCTCCGGCTGATGCAGCCATCGACGGGGGTGTGTGCTCCGCCCGCTGCGGGAATAGGCCCTCGACCACTTCCTGCAGGAAGCTGGGCTGGAGAGTCTCCGTAAGGGGGGGGCCCGACGTGCGGAGCTTTTGACGCACCGCACGATAAGGGCGACCCCAGGGGTCACGCTCGAGACTCTCCAGCATCTCCTCTCTACTGACATCCTTGGCGCGGCAGATGGCCAGCCTCAGAGTTTTCCGAGCTTCTCGGTACTCCTCATGAAACCGGTCCATCTCCTCACCGACCCCGCGGTGACGTCGCCGACTACGGGTGAGGGACCTCCGGGCACGTACACAGGCCGCACGGAGGTCCGCCAACTCCTGGGACCACCAGTAGACCTCCTTCCTTGGAGGCCGACAACCACGAACGCGGGGCATGGCCGCATCGCAAATCTGCGTAATCGCATCGCAGAAGCGACCAGCCCCCATGTCGACCTCCTCGGTCGGGGCCTGCGGAGACAGCCAAGAGTGAATAATGGCCGCCTCCTCTAGTAGGTCCCTGTCGAGCTTGGCGATAGCCCACCGCGGAAAGCGGGAAGGGCGCCGCGCCGCGTGACCCCTACTGGGGTCCTGGGACCGGGAGAGCTCGAATCGGATGTACAAATGATCCGAGAGCGTCTCGACCTCTTACAGGACACACCAGTTCCTTACTCGTGCGGCGACTGCAGGGGTAGCGAACGAAAGGTCCACTATCGACCCCCCCTGCTGTCGCACGCACGTGTTGGTGGAGCCTCTGTTCAGCAAACAGAGGCCCACCGACGCCGCCCACTCCTCAACGGCTTCGCCCCTGGCGTCCGTCGCAGGGGAACCCCACGCAATGGACTTTGCGTTGAAGTCCCCCAGCACGAGGACGTGCCCAGACACTAGTCGCCGCATCGAGGCCTCCAAGTTGTTAAGAAAGACCTCGAAGTCGTTCAAACTCCGGTTGGGGGAGAAATATACACCATAAATGGTGATTCCCCCCCAATCGGCGGCAACATATCCAGTACCCTTGTCTCTTAGCGACAAGGGCGGGGAATGAGCCGCCGTGGAGCCGACGACTGCCACGGAGCCGTCCCGGTCACCCATCCAGTTTGGACGGGGAGGGACAAAATAGGGCTCCGCGACTACGGCAACACCTATAGACCACTGTGCCATGGTTTGCAGGAAGAGATCCTGCGCCGCAGCACAGTGGTTCAGATTCGTCTGGACCAGGAGGTTGGAGACTTGATCCATTACTGGATCGTCTCTACAACCTCCTCCATGGGCGTCGGCGTCGACGCAAGATTGACGTCGGAGGTAGCCTGGGTCGGCAGGCTAGCCCCCGGCGTTTGCCGAGAAGCGCGGGGAGGCTTGCAGCCCCCCTGCCCCATCTGGTGATTGGCAGGCTTTTTAGCCGCCGCACACACGGGGCAGTGAGGGGCGGCAGAGCACTCTGCCGCCTTGTGCCCGGGTTGACCGCAGCGGAAGCATAGACCGCTGCAGTCAAAACAGCTCTCGCACCTGGTGCGAGTGTGTCCCGCGGCTAGGCACTTGAAGCACCTCATCGGCCTCGCGGCCAGAACCGTGATTCTGGCATTAACGAAGCCGACGAGCATGCTTCCGGCGTCGCCCAACGCTTTGGCCGACGCCACGGGACAGCTGACCCACACCGCACCGAGGCCTCCCGGACCCGGACGGACGGTGCCGACTCTGATGGTGTCCGCGGTGCACCCAGTCTTCTCCATGACTGCATCGCGGACATCCTCCGACGTTATAGAGTCGTCCAGGCCCGAGATACGCAGTTCCGCGCATTTGGTGGGCCTGGCGATCTTAACACCGTCCGTGGCGGCGAAAATTCCCCGCAACTTCTCGGCGAATTTGTCGGCCGTCGCCGCGCCTTCAGCCCCAGGGAACTCGAAAACCCGAGCTCCCGTCTGGGCGCGGCGCAGCCTCATCCCCGCCTCCCCGAACTCAGTGGCGAGACCGGGCCGGGCCCCCTTGAAGAGGGCCGCATACGTGAGCCCGCCACTGGCCGCCTCCGGCGACAGCGTCACGACTACAGCCGCGGTTTTGGGCGGCTGCAGCTTCCGCGGCCTCTTTTTTGAGGCCGTTGCCACCGGTGGCGAAGGCTGGGCTTGGGCTGCTTTCTGAGCAGCCCTTCTAGCCCGCCTTCGGGACTTCTTTGAGCCCCTCGCCTGCTGCCAACCTTCGTTGGAGGGGGCAGGTGCGGAGGGGCCCGGCAGGGATGTCGGAGCGGGGAGCGGAGGGAAAGCCACTCCGCTCCTCGGCGCCGCTTTAGGCCTCGTCTTGGCCGGCGCCTTGGCCGGCGCCTTGGCCGGCGCCTTGACTGGCGCCTGGGCCGGTGCCTTGGCCCCTCTCCTCGGCCCCTGGGGAGCCGGTGGAGTCGGGGCCGACGCCGCCGCCGCGTAGGAGACGCGGCCTCCCACCACGGGGAGCGCGGTTGGCGCAGCGGCCTTAGGCCGCTGCGACGACGCGAGCGGGGGGCGCACGACCGGCGCAGGGGGCAGTCTCGCCTCCAGGCCGGCCAGACGGCCGTCCAGCATACGCCCAACTGCGTCGAGAATTGACCGCAGTTGGGCGTCAGGTACCCCTGAGGTCGCGATAGGGACAGGGGGGGGCGCGGACGGGGCCTCCCGCTCGGGGAGGTTCGCCTGGAAGCGGGCGAACTGAGCGCTCAGCTCGTTCACCCGCTCCGTGAGTCTCTCGTTGGCCAACTGTAGGCGAGAGACATCGCCCACCAGGCCCTCCACGACCTCCGACAAAGCGGAGGAGGAGTCCTTAAGGGCCCTCACAAACGAGCCCTTTAGGTTTACGGACTTGGTAGCCACCTTTTGGATGACGGCCACCGCCGCTTTCGCCCTCTCCTGCACGGACACGGGAGCCTGGGGGGCATTTCCCCCCACCGGCTCCCGAACCTTGAGCAGGAGATCCGCGATCTCCTCCTCCGCTACGGCCTCTCCGTCCACTCGTACGCTCCTGTAGGACTCCGCGTTTGAGAACGCGGAGCCTGACGGGGTCGAGACCGAGGCCGAGGCCGGTTTACGCGCCCTCCCTCGGCGGCTGCTTGCCACCTTTGGTGGCATCATTTCGCCGGACGTGTCGGTCCCCTCCTCCCTGGAGCGTCCGCGTTTCCTGCTGTCGCTTCGTTCCGCCTCCATGGCCTCCGCGCCATCCGACGAAACGGCGGATCCAGAACGTATACGATCCGATGCTCTTCGGCTCCCAGTGACCAGAGTCAGACTGACCTCTGGGAGCCCCATCGAGATAGGCGTTCCTGACACCATCTCACCCTCAGTGGACGACCCATCCGCTCCACTGTTCCTCTTCTCCTTCCTCGTTGCCGTGTCCGTTTGACTTGCCTTTTTTGTTTTGTTTTGTTTTCCGATCGGTTTTCTTAGATTTTGGTTATCATTATCCATAATAAATCCCACGAGTGGGGGAGAACTAAAGGTCCACCCGGGCAGAGATCCCCCATTACCCGGGCAAGCGTAAGTTTTTAACCCAACCGAGGGGTCCGCAGGTACCTCGGCTTGGAGTGCGCTCGCGACTGAACTTCCCATCAGCCATGCATCCCCTGGCCACGCACCAGAACACGGGATTCGGGGAATTTTTTAGAGAGGTTATCTTCCTCGCGGTCCGGGCGGTTAAGCCAAGACCCTCGCCCCCGATCAGAGCCGCGAGACTTAACCACAGCGCTCTTCTCGGGATTACGATATGCCGACGGTTGACAGGGAGACTACGTCCCCCTGCCTGCTCGGTGGTAGTGTGAGTACACGCCGAGCCCGTCCTCCTTTCTCCACCGCTGTCAGCGGAGAAACTGTGGCCCCTACAGGGCCCCGCCATCAGGTTTTTTACCGAGGTTTCCTCCTCCATGCTCCGAAGAGCGAAGAGCCAGCAGGGCAACCGGCAGACACGCCCACCCTGCTGGACCAGGCCTTGCCCGAGAGCCGATGAACGGCTGCCTCTTCTGCTAGAATATTGGCCGCTGGCGATAATCCTCTCCTCCAAGAGGACAAGGAGGAAACAGTACCATCGCCAGCGTTTCCAGGGTGCACCACGAGGAGGTTTTCTAGCCCAGCACCCCTTGACACAAACCCTATACCAACCCGTCTGGCCAGCGTGGTATAGTAGGCCAAAATCTTCTTTCTAAGGAGAGGCTTATGTCCAGCAGTGGGCTGTTAAAGGCTGTTGATGATGATGATGATGATCTCAAATAATAATAATCTCACACATCTCACATAAGTCCGTCTGATCCCAAATTAGGCAGTACCTGTACTATTGTAACCAGGCTGCCGATAAACATAATTATATATTTTTAAATATATACATATTATAGATAAATAACGTCCAGATACAGAAGAAATGACCGTGTCTTCACACAATAATTTGTCCTTAGTGAAATTCGAACCAGGGTCACGGTCACTAACCACTGGACCAACTAATGGATGTAGTTTGCCTTACTCAGTCTTCTGCAAAGATGGTCTTATGCATGCGCAAAGATACTTTTTACTAGAGTTTGAACAAACTGAAGTTTTTCTCCAAAAGATTATATGAAATACTGAAAAACTAGTTACAAAAAAAAACACTACATTACTACTTAGTACTAACACCATCCAGACGGCAGAAATCTAATAATTTAGAACATACGATCTCATTATTTTCCGATGTGGCGAAGTAATACAATCATTAAAACATGATTCATCTCATGATGTAAAAAATTAAAACCAGTTATTGAAATTACTCCAGCAGATTACGAATTAGGACACTTTTCTGAGAGCACTTTAAACACAAGTTTCAACTACGCACGTAGTGTAAAAAACAAGACGGTGAACAAGAAGCAAGCAAAATACTTGAAAAAACAAATAGTTAAAAGAGTTCAGATATTCTAGAAAAGTATAATTACTTCCTCATTAAACTTTCAAACAATTTCACTAGAAGCGAATGAGTAACCTATAAGGCAATAACTAAACTCTGGTATTTTCCAAGAAATTAAATATTTTCGTTCATAAATAGGGCGCGGCTATACAACCAGCAAAGATAAATAGACGCCCATCTGTTGTTGACCTTACGTCATATTTACGATAATGATGAGTCATCAAACCTTTCCTCTACCACAGTGAGTAGAAAACAGAAACATAATTGAACTTTTAGTAATTAATATGTGTGTACCTAATTCGTAAATGCTTATATAGTTTTATGCTTGGAAAATTCTATAGGTGAACAACTCACTTTGGTTAGCGCGGAAAAGGACTAAAGGTAGCTAACAAGACATAGTAACACAATATTACAAGCTTTCTGTATCTGAAATGAGCGTTACGGGAGGCTTTAAGGCTTCCACGTAAGTACACATAGCAGTAAACAAAGATTTATTCATTTATGGTGTTTCGATGTTGGTTCACCGCTGTTTTATGAAGATAGAATACTGTTCTATATTTACTGTGACTTTAGTTTATTTTGGTAAACTTTCAATGTGCGTTTTTGCGCATGATATATATTATCCAGATGTATCAAAAGTTTTAAGGTAATACCAGTAAAAAGTTTTTGAAATAAATATAGTAACTATTTAATGGTACCCGAGTTGCTATATATATTCCTATTATTAACAGCCAGGAGTAGAGACTACGTGATATTAGATTTGACTCTGGGGAGTTTGGTTGCAGCAACAGCTCGGCAGATAAAATTGCCATTGTGAGAAATTAACACGATATTTTGGGTCTGAACTGTTTGGCGTTTCGAATAAATAACGTTGGCCATTGTAACATATAGTTTAGGGGTATTTATTTACATATACATAAACACACAATAAGTAAGTTCATTTGGGGTTTTGTGTGACGGAGTGGAAAGCCGTTCGGTTCTCCGGCTCCTCAGGGACGCAGAGGCCAGGGGAATGTCGTGTTTCCACTAAAAACAACCCCGACGCCGACCGGGCCTCAGGCGCGCTACTCTTAGGAGGATCCGCACCATATGATTTCAGGTTCTCCTCGAATCGATGATAACGGTAACTGTAAAATTTCCTACGCCAGCTGGTCCAATAAAGACATTGTGGCCTCGTTACAGATTTAAAACGTTTTAAACCTTTTTCTATTTGACACAATTCCGCAAGTTTCGTAGGTTGTAGTTTTGTTCGGCTTGCGTTAGCGACCCGGACATAGCATTTTGTAGAATTAGAGAAGTCTGTTAAAATAGTATCTATTTATATCGAAATGAAGTCTGCATTTACCACTGGTCCTGTAGAAGTTTGGCTTAATCTTTTAAAGTAATTGGTACTGGTATCGGTCACATATGATTTTGTAGCTCGTCCAATGTTAACTCGACTGCTAAGTATTGGCTTTTACAGTTAATAAGCACGGAAAGCGATTCTGTTTTCTAACGCGGGCAAAATTACCTCCAGATCGTACCTTTGATTGCAAATCATTTCATGTGCGGAAATCATTTATATTCGGTGGTATATCAGTTTTTTACATACCCAACCGAACCAAGGTTGATTTCTGTCCAAAACCGAATCTGAAAGTTCAATAACTTATTCTTTGTTTAAGATTTTATAAAGAACCCGCATAAAATTATTTAAAATTACCTTGCAACTGGCTAAAAATATTTTGATATAAAAACAATAATTTATTAATAGCAATAAGTTTTTCTTTGCGTCTGAAACTAAATAACAAACAAAAAATAAAGAATGTTAGGAAATTAAATGATCATTTTTCTCAAGGAAAATAATTTAATGGAATGAAAAATATAAATGACTCTTAAAATAACTGATAATTATTTTAAAAGGAAAACAAAATATAATATGTATGAAGTGGAAAAGTATGAGATTTGGAAAGGTTTATTTTAATGGAATCTGCAAACATAGACCCGAACAAGGTTGTATTTATACCTTGAATGTCATCTGTGTGATAATATATATTCCGTATGACAGCAAACTAATTTTATATGAAAATAAATTAAAATAAAGAAAATAATATTCTAAAACCACAAACCCGCCGCTACGATTGTTCACAGAATGCAGGAACAAAGAAACACAAAGCCATTTCTTTTAATAGTGATGATTTCATAGGTCTACTGTGGCTATCAAAAGTCGCAACCTTGTGTGGCGCAGATGTTGTCGAAATCGTTCATTTTTTGTGACATTGTCAGTACATAATGTGGGAACTAGTTGTAGGTAACGTTAGCCTTGTAAACAAAGTTTTGTTACACAATTCCTTTTTTTTTATGTAGTCGGTTAAAATGAAATCTCACTGATTCCACTTTGAATAGTGCAAGTGAAAAGTTCGTCAATACAAGATGATTTTTGATGATTTTTTTTGGTGTCCCATAATACTTCGTTTCTTTTTCGTACAAAATCTATCTTATATATTACATTTAAATGTTATGTTGGTTTGGGTAGGCTTCAACAATGTGCCACAGTGAAATGTAGCAGGGTGCAGCTAGAAACCTATAAAAGTACTTTAATCTTCTGAACTTTATGTAGGGTATTGATGGGCCCCAGACCAAAACACCCTGTTTATGTGGTGATCCTGGCTGCTAAGCTACAGGTCGTTGATTCGATTCCCATCCACAACAAATAATATTGTAAGATGAACCGGATCATGAGTTTTGTGCCTTTTTTATTTTGCTCTGTGACTGGGTGTAATTTATCGTTAAGTCTGGTTAAAATCGTACAGGCTATGCCTAGTTTGGGATTAAACGGTAGTGTGTAATAAATGGGAGGTGAGGTTATTGCTTTTCTGATGCTTTTCTCTTGTAGGGAGCAATGCAACTTTCTTAATGGGGATTAAGAAAGTCGTTCTGAAAACATAACCTCCTTTGCTTCGGGTTTTCAATATGTAGATTTCGTATAATATTTTCAGTCAGCAATGTGCATTTCATTTGCAAAATACTTATCTCTTCGTCTATATTATTCCAGTATTTATTTTTGTATGTGATGGATACTGAATAAATTTGTATATAAATTGTAAATTACCGTGACTGGTTCTGATTTGTAAGTGTGGCGCTTCATGCAACAAAGGAATTAACTTATCTCCCAAATAATTTTCATTTTATTATTGTTTTGTGCAAGTAACATGATGAGAGTGTTATGAAAAGTACAATATATCGAGTTTCTGAATTAGGAAATTTGTAAAGCAGGTGTTCTACCGTGAAACTTAGTTAATAGTCTAAGTCCCCGAGATGAAGCGGAGGGCGACCACAGTAGTCCTCCATCGCGTTCAGTCTTCAGCTTCGCACTTGACCTCACTCCACGTCTTGGCGATTCTCTTCACCTCATCTGCGACGGTTTGCTACCGTAAAAGCATAAAGTTATTCAAGATCTACGCAATATGTGCCACTGTTAAAAGTATTAGATTTTTTTATTGGTAGGGGGGCAAACGAGCTGATGGGCCATCTGTTAGTAAGTGACTCAACCACCCTTTCCCCTCCCTTCAGAATCAGGAGGGGTGATTGAGATTCGATAGCTTCCCTCGATCGGTAAGTAATGAAAGATTAACATTAGTAGCCTCGGCCTTGCCTTTCAGCTAAAGATTCGTTGTACATATATAGTTAGTGTTTTTTTTCTTTTGAATACATAACTACAATGAGTTAATGCCAGCTTTTTCAAGGGCATTTTTAATACTAGCTTTGTAATGTATGTTGTTCTGCTACTGTTATACTACAGTATATAAGTGAACAATGTGATCTGTACTAGAAGTATAATTTAACTATATACAATTGTTGAATTGTATTCTGTAGATTTAATTTCACTGCAATGAAAAAAATGCCATGCAATAAAAAAAAAATCCGTTTACTTTTATTAAATACTAAAACAAGGGAAGGCGATAAACAAATAGCTTTGTTCCATATGACTTCACACTATTCCTCATTTGTATTAGGAAGTC